TTTAGTCAATGCGTGCATACCAGAATGTAATTTACTCTTGATACAAAAATGCAGTTCGTATGTCCTAACGGGTGCTGTAAGTGAAAAGAGAGAAGAGTGTGTGCTTCTGTAATCCTGAACAGCCATGCACACAGCAACTTAAGCACAGCAGCAACGCAGTGAGATTAATAAATCAATCACAGGTAAAGTGCTTAACATAGGCCATGTAAGGGCACAACTTAAGACACTTTAGTTCCCTCTGCCTGATAAATCAGATGACTGGGTAGCCAAAACTGAGCTAGAAATACGTGCAAGTCAACAGTGAAAGAATCATCTTGTTCCTGTTACTCCCATGCACTACTCTAAAGCATACAATTACAGTAATTGCTTTAATTACATTACTGGATTATATACAGTGTAAACACACGTGAAAGGCCATTGCAAGCCAGGAAGAAGTTTCTTATTGCAGATCAATAGGAAATGAGTTTGTTTTCCAAATCCACTGCAAATACCTCAAACAATTTTTGTTTCATATATGCAGGTGCCTTAAAATATCAAATCTTACTACTGGAAAAAAACACCATATCCCTATCAAAAAAAAAAAAAAGAAAAACCCAACAAAACAGTAAAAACCTATTTTGTGAAAGTATACTTACAAGTACATTAAGCACAAGGTATATTGCTCAGAATATCCACACAGGCAGGTTTGCTTACAGTAAGCTCTGCGAGATTTGCATTTGCTGCCTTTCTGGGTTGATGGTCTCATCCTTCATGCTCAATTCCTTTCTAAGCTATTCATATTGCAAGTTTCATTTTTCCCTAAATAGGTTTTAGATCAGCTTTAATGCTCAGTAGGCTGAGCTCCTGCCCTCAGTAAACTTCATTATCAGTATGCTTCCTATGACATCTGTATAACAGCACGTGTACGTTATAGACTCATGCACACCATCAATACAAGCCACCCGATCCCAGTACACCACGGGACTTCTTTGTTCCTGCATATATTCCAAAATGCAGCAAGATGTAAATAACTGAGTTAAAACTTCAGAGAGGGACAGGTGAGAGGCAAGCAGGATGATGGAGCGTGCCATGGGGAATTCCACAAGCAAGGGGAATCCCTGTACAAAAGAACTTGGTCAGACACTTCATTTATGCTGATCCCAAACACCTGCATTTCCAGCTAAAGAACACACTACAAACGTAGCCCTTAGGTTAATTTCTGTGGGACAAAAATTACTTGACGTGGCCTTCAGTGCCATGCCCCACGCTCACCATTCTTCCCTCTTCAAGGGGAAAGCAGTCATTTCTATCTATCTATATGTATATATTTAAGACATTAATTTAACATGTTAAATTATAAGGTTCTACTTCTCAAGTAGAACGCTGTCTTTCTGTATCTCCCACTGGAGCAGAACAGTAACACAACTGCATCAAACTTACCCCAGCAAAATTTTTAAACACAACTTTGCTTAAGCGAGACAAATATTTTGTCATTTTCTTGACAAACTCTCTAATTTTGTATACTGACAGATCCCCAAAGCGCAACAGAAATGTAAATTGCCATAGCAATCTTTGCAGGAAAGACAGAATTACACCAGCTCACGTTACCACTTGATGCATGCTTAATTACTGCTCGATTCTCAAATCATTTTCAGTTGTGCAATGAAGCAAGTTCCTACCTAATAATAGAACAGCTGGGATGCCACAGCCGCCCAGCTAATTCAGAACACCAGTGACTAAAACCTGCATTGCTAGCTACTCCCATCAGGGGCTGTCACAACAACAGATGCTTTTTAAGCTCTGGGTTAGAGACTCTCTGCTGCTGTTACGTGTCTCTTACCTGGAGCTGAAGTTCACTCTGTGAGAACGCTTCTCCAGAAACTGAAAACGTGCTAAGAGAACATAGTAGTATTGCAAGCACTGACACTATAGGGACTAAGGAGGAGTGGTTCACTTCACTGCTATCAGTCATAAGGAGCTATTTACAATGTAGACAAAAAAAGCTTGCATAGAGTCAGGAATTGCAGGAATTTTAGTAGAGAAATGAAGCTGAATGAAAGAAGCATCACTGTGTAACCAAACACGTAAGAAAGAAGTCACTGGCTGCAAGCTGGGGACCAGGCTGTAGGCACACCAGCACCCCGAAGCCAGTGACCCCCTTCACTGGCAAACAGAGCAAAGCACTTTACAGAGGATGGGTGATGGGCCACCAGGTTACTGACTCAGACCCTAAACTACATCTCAGTGTATTGCATTCAAGTACAGTTTAAAACTTTTAACGTTTTGCTTACTTTCACAGCTATGTTTTATTAAGCACAAAAAAGGGTTGGTCTACAAAAATTAAATTATACTCCTCTGACTGTATCTAGTAAAGAGGAAAAACTTTAATTATGAGACTGCATTGTCAAATAAATGCAAATTCTCATATTTCATATGCCAGGTTGAAAATTCACATACAAGTCTATTATAAATTAAAATCCACATTTGAAACACTTTGGCTTCTTTGACTGTTGCTTATCACTGAAAGCTGAAGTTATGAGATGCACAGTAGACATAGAATGAATTATTAAATAAAACTTGTGAGAATAAGGCATTTGTACTACACCCATTTAAATATCAATTAGGAAAAAAAAAACCAAAGAAGGATGATGAACTGAATCATCTCTGTTTTACAGCCAATTCTCTCTAGAACTGACAGAATAACAGAGAAACCATGCTAGCACTCTAAGTTTTACTCAATATGAAATACTTGGGTTAAAAATTGTAATTTATTCACTAGCTGAAGTTTACAATCTCTTAACTTAAAGTGAATAAGGACTGCACTTATGGAAGTAAATTAAATAAAACCAAACAGGAGTACCTGCTATGCACTGCATGCTAGCTCTCTCCTAAAATGAAAATCCAAGAATCAGCTTAGAGATGGTACAAAATTGCACAGAAACAAGTTGCAAATCAATTTCTTCACAGGAATAAGGACAAGCTATGTATCCCTGCACATCTGAAATCTATCTAACCAGTTCCAAGCAGCATTTTCAGCATGCCACGGTCACAGTGGCCAGGCTGCGGCTTTGCCTGCCAATCTGAGAGAAGGCACATGGCTGACCACCCACAGGTGTGTGCACACACTTATCAAGAAGAATTGCACTTGAACATGTGAGCAGTGTTCTTGACTTAAAGAACTCTCCCAGCACTCCCAGAGAGAGAGATTACAGACACATTTCTGGCAGGCTGATGCATTCTGAGATGGTACTGAATTGAAACACAAAGGACCCGAGGGCGATATTTGAAAATATAAACACAGACACACACACACAGATGTTAAGAATGAACTGAGAAAAGTGACCGTTGTTAAGGAGAGGTATTTCTACACATGCCTATGTACCACATTGATTGCACATCACACTGCCACTGCATCAATTCAAACCTATTAAAATTACCATTGAATCTCTTTAGTGTGCAGGTAGCAAAGCTTTTAAATACTCATTTAGAAACACTCAGACTTTCAAAGTACCTTGTAAGCCATAAACTATCTCATATCAGTGCTATCTTTTACAAGTAAACTTGAAATAAAATGCTGCAATAACATGCAGTTTAAAGAGCTTTAAACGTGTATCTCTTTAAACGTGCATCTTTTTCTCTCTGCTGGAGAGCTGTATACTGCTCAGAAACAGAACTGTGGATGGTGTTACCCAGGACAAAACAAAGTGCCAGCAGTGCAGCTACTGTTGGCAATTAACAACAATCATCATTATTTCTGTATTATTCTTAATGCAGTCATCTGTAACTACCAGCACAAGCAGCAACAGATCATGGGTGAGCATCTTGAAAGCACTAATGAATGGTTTCCAAATGCAAAGAGCATGCATTACAGCTCAAGACAGAGACCGCGCTCATTAGCAAGGAAGCGAGGGGCTCTGCTGTCCCTGAAGAAGGACTGACCCAGCCTCATTTATTTTAGCAGCCCAACAGTCCTTTACACCAGTAACCTCCATGCTCTGCAGCTGCACCCTCAGCTGGGGGCTCTTTTGCTGGGGAGCGGGTACCCCTTAACTCAAGGTTCTCAAGTCCAAAAACTGCCATTCCGTGTAATGGTCACATCTAAACTGAGGTAGCACTGGGTACCTTACACTTCTTAAGACCTAAAAACAGCTATTTGCAACAGGAGTGGGATGCTACAGGAACTCCAACTCGTGCAGACATTTCCCCATCCCCCCGCAGGTCCCTAATCAAGCTGCAGTCTTCTACACCTGTGAAGGGCTACCGAGCAACATGGTGTTCTGAAAACCAAGAGGGTTCTCAGATTACTTCCACAAGGAGGAATTTGAAAAACAAGCAAATTATGGCATATCTCATGAAACCGTAGGGTTACAAAGCAGAACTGCAGCTGGTTTCCTTGTGAACAATTTCATCTCTGAATATGCTAGCTCTGTATTAATTACAGTAAGGGCAAAACCTCTTCAGACTTAGAAAATGAGTACGGCAAATACTGTGCAAACATTTGTGCCCTCCCATTGCAACCCAAACTCCAAAAAAGCATTCATAATATACTTCTCCCCTCTTAGTCTGATATTTTCTTTTATGGATGAAAGCAAAGCAGACAGGGCAAACCTTCAGAGTATATGAATTGCTAAAGTAAATAAAAGAAAGGAGGGAATTACTAATTTAATGCTCTCTTCTTTCTCTTGGGGAAAAAAAACCCATGTAATTAACTGTAATGAGATTAAACTAACTTGTTGTTATTAATTTCCCAATGCAAGGAAACTAGATCTGAGACCCCAAAGACTGTATGTATTAACAGCATTACCAACATTTGGCTTGCATCCTTCAGCTTTTACACCAATTTTAAAGGGCAAAAATTAAATACTGAGTCACAAAGTCAATCAGAAGTGCGAAAAATTAAATGCGGAGTCCCTGTTGGTGGGACTATGAAACTCATCTGGAGCTGCAGACTATGAATGGGTGGAGCAAAAAGCAACAAATGCTCCTCACCACAAACAGAAGCTGAACTATTAAATCCTTACCAAAACTTTTCTCCATTACTTCTTTCTGACACATATCTTGAACGTTCACTGTACAATTCACAATGAACTCCGGAGAGGAGCAGTCATTGTTTAGCTGGAACTCCTCGCACTGGTAGCACTGTATTTGTAAACCGAAACCTGGAACAGATAGGAGTTTCACTCAGAACGATAATAATAAGGAAATAAAAATGAAATCAACACGTGCAGAAGAGGCGCTCACCGTTCCCTATTTCTTGTTACTGATCGCAGCTCAGCACGAGTTGGGCACAAACGCCTCGCACCGCCCGGTCCCAGCGCGGGGCGGGCGGCGACCAGCAGGCGGCACAAACCCCGAGCGCAGCGCTGCCCCGCGCCCGGCTCCGGCTGCAGCCCCGCCGGTGCCCTCAGCGCAACGCGCCGCAACCATCCGCGCTGCGGGCCAGCAGCCCGGCCGGGAGGTGCTTTCCAGCTCTTAGCCGCGCCGCCGGCTTTACTTAGCTACTAATTAATGACAAATGATTTAATTACTATCTTGCCACGCGCGATTACGGCTGCGGTACATCGTTCCCAACGAGGCGCTCCGCGCGGAGCCGCCGCTCCCTGGCAGCCCTCAGATCCCAGCTCCCCGCCGGGGATCGCGCCTCGTTCCGCCGCGGGACGGGGTCGGGGCGGCGGGCTCCGCACGGGGGTCTCGCTTTCGGGGTGCCGGCGCGGAACCTCTTACCTGGAGCCAGGCACAGTCCGCAGAAAGTAGCGGCGAGGAGGAAGAGCCGCATCCTCCCGCAGCCGCCGGGCCGGCGGTGGGGCACGGCGGGGCATCGGCGGGAGGGACGCGCCGCGCTCGGAGCCGCTCCCCAGCCGCCGTAAAGCGGGCAGCGGCGTCTGCCCGATGCCGCTCCGCCCGGCCCCGCCGGAGTTGAGCGTCGAGACTGGAATAAACTCGAGGGCCGGGGGGCGGCTCCCCCTCCTCCCTCAGCACCATGTGACGCCGGCGGAGCGGGGCGGCCGGCGGAGATCCCCGCCCCGCGCACGGGAAACGGGAAAGTTCGGGGAGGGAGAGGCGGCCCCGCGGGCGCGGCGCTTCCCAGCGCCCTCTGGCAGGCGTCGCCCTCTGCCCGAAAAGGAACCGCGGCCTGAGAGACGGGGGGCCGCCCGCCGCCTCCTCCGCAGGCGCGCACCTGGGCGCGAAGGCGGAGGGAGAAAGAGAAGGGGCGTCGGCGGCCGCCGCTGGGAGCCGCCCCAGCTGAGGCGGCGCGAGCGGCCGGAGCCGTTGGAGCCGCAGGGGGCGAGCGCGAAGGCGGCCGTTGGCGGCGCGAGGCGCGCGCTGAGGGGCGCGAGCGGCGGCCGCTGGTGGGACGCGCTCCCGCAGCCCCGCGTGCACAGGAGGAGGTTTATTTAAGAAAATCGGTGAAAATCTCTTCAAAGTCGACGCGAGTTTACAGCGGAATGACTTAGAACAAATTGCACGAAGTATTAACGCAGACGATACAGTATCGTTTCGTAGATTAACAGGTGCTGGAGGAACCGCGGGGTCAGAAATAGTCCAAATATATCTGGTTCACAGGTCGCTGTACAAAAAGCAGTTATAAATACTTCACATCTCGAAAAAATACACCGAACCTTTGAAATAGACTTTCCCTCACGTATAAACAGCCTCTGTAGAAAAACAAAACCCGCAAAACAGGCGCCCGGCTGAGCGGCGCTGGCTCGTGCCCACCGCTCCTCACGCGTCACCACCACCAACTATTGCAGAGCTGACGGTTTAATGAGGACAAAACGGGGACAGAAGACAGCACAAGATTCGGGAACGGATGGGGAGCGATGATGGCAGGAGGTGGAGAGCAGCGCAGCGCTCCGACCCCGTCCTTCCCAGCCTGCACGTGAGCTGAGCACTCCGCGCCAGCAGCAGCACCGCCCCGTTATTCGTGTGCTCGCCATGCTGAAACACCTTCTGCAATAGGACACCTGTGGCGACACTGTAGCCGAAATGCGCCTTTCCCCAGAGCGCTTGCATGGAATTGCACTAAAAATAAAAAATATATTTTGCAAAAGGTGTCTGCAAAGTTCCTTACACATGATTCGCTAGGCTCAGGTTTATGGACACACAGTGTTTCTACATAGTTTTAAGACCAGAATAAGTATAAATCTTTTAAAAAAAAAATCTACTAACTTTTCTGGTTAATATTAACATCAATTTAAGTCAGTAATCTGCCATTACGGGAGCATAGCACCAACGTAATATTTATTGCTGTCATCTCTCCCTACAAATATATCTTTCCAAAATATTTACACCTATACAAATATTCATAAAAGTGCAAAATTAAGACTTTTCTCTGTGTAGTCACTTGTGTGGAGCATTGAGTCTCCTGTACTGAGACAACTGCGGTGCTGCCTTCCTTATTGCTGCGTCACGAAGACCAAAGCTGCGAACAGCCTGCCGTGGGCACAGTGACACGGGCCGAGTTCTGCTCCTACTCCGCACTCACTGCCCGCTCGCAGCTCCGTAAGTGCTCCCTTTGCAGCCGGCTGAAAGCGCCCTCACACGTCGTTAGAGCCTTGGCTGGCACAAGAGGAGAAGCTGTCGTACAGAGAATCGCTCAGGGACTCCAAATTGTCCACGTCCTGCCTTTCGGAGCTGTTTAAGGAAGATGCTTCCTTCTTTCCGCTTTCTTCCTTTTGTCCTTCAGCTTTGTTCAGGCAGTTCTTCTCCTTTTCTAATAGAAGTACGTTATTGCTGTTAAATTTATTGAGAGACTCCAGGGAAATTCTAGATAATCTAGTCTGAGAATCTTCTTTTGTTTCTTCATTTTGCTTCAGTTTCTGTAATAAGTGAGAAAAGTATTAGAAACATATTTCTTAGAAAAGAAAGTTGTTCTACTACACCATTAATTACCATCTTTCCAAAGTTCAAAGGGTTAGAAGAAATAGATTATTAGATACTTAAATCTCCATTGTAATTAAATGGAACATTAATGCCCGTTTCAGGATAAATCATAGCTTCAAAGCTATGATTGTCTCATAGCTTCTGCTGAGGACTCCAAGAGACTCCAAATACAAAACAGTGCTACTAACATTAAAGTACATATCCTAGATTTGTATGTGTTAAGCATCTTCAGCATCTTCACAGTAATTTACATCTTCTCCTCTAAGAATACTTTGGGGGTTATGTTTAAATGGGTATTTGTCTAAGAAGAATTTGGAGTCTGCCAAAAAAAAAAAAAAAAAGGGCAGGTAGACATGGAGAAAACAGCATTTTCCATAACTTACAGACATAAATGAAAGTTGCTAGAAAATAACCTCACATTTTGCATGTATAAGCCTATTGATTTCCATGAACCCAAACCCTCTCTGATAGAAAAGAAAGCAACAAGACAGGAAATTACAGTGAACAGGGCCAATCCCCACAGGCCAGAATCAATCAGATATTGGCCAGGCCTACTCTGAGAAGTGCTGTAATTCTGCTGGAACACCGGACAATGTATTAGCACATTATATTAAAAACTCACAGTAGGATTATACAAGAGCAATTTTATCCCTTTGTTACCTCCTGGCATTTTCAATCAGAGATCTGACCAAGGAATAGTTAGGGAAAAGCTTAGGGAGCAGTTCAATAAAAATGACCTGCCTTCCATACACAGGGTGTTCCGAAGTCTCTGTAACTAACTGCTCTTACAGATAACATTATCACAGAAATACGAGATAACATTCAACATTTTATAGGGCGCTGGGAGAGGTAAGATGCGAGAGTTTCGAGATACGCTGTCAGAGTGCAAGCCATTGCTCATTTCCAGTATTACCATTAGATAACACGGACTGCATCCGTAAATTACTGTCAGTCTAGGACATTAGTATTTTGGTTTAGATAGAAAGTGAAGTGGTAGTCTAAGCACACTGAGAACATAACACGGCCAGATGTATGGATGCTGTGTGTCACTCCGTCTGCAGTTGTGAATGTTCATTAGAATTTCTGGAAAAATCCAGGTTTCAAGTAAGTCACTTCATGCCTGAGGGGCTGCTTGTCCTTGGAAGTCTTGGGCAAGTGGGACACCTTGCTACATAGTTGGATTGCTTGTTTTTATGGATATTTATATAAAATGCCAATCTAATGATTGTTGACATTATGATCTTGTTGTTTTTCATAAACTAACAAGGCCTGGTTAGTATGTTGATATCAAATGCTTCAAACAAGCTTAAGCAAAGCAGTAGGAGATGCTAAAGTCATTCGGTTCATCATATTTGATTCTGACTTTACATCTTCACTTTCTAGAATGATAGTATTTTCTGAAAAAGAGGAATATTAGCCTTGGTAGCAGTAACAAACACAAATTTAAACCCTTTCATAGAAATTTAGCTTAAAAACTTTAGCTTGAAAAGTTATTATCTTTAGTATTTAAAATATTACACATTATTGTCTAAACAGCTGTTTCACTTCTGCGCATGTCAGATGAGAAAAATCTCAGATACAGCATCAATAAAATATATATTTGTGCTTTCTGGAGAGACCTACAATGTTTGGTGTACAGAGCAGTTCAGATGAAGACTCACAATAAGAATGGATCTTTGGCCAGCTGAAGGATAGATCTGAATCACAGGACAGACTGGAATGAACTCATTGGTATATTCTACAGAGAAGCAGTATCAATCATTTATTATACTTCACATGTACTGCTTAGACTAAAATCCTGCTTAATCACATCCTAGTTTGTCATTTAATATGAAGCTAACAGTTAATAAAATATATTAGAGAAACTGCAGAGAACTACAGGGAACTCTACAAATTTTAAGTAAAATCATTGAAGCAAATGAAATTGAAGTGAACCGAAACGTAGCCCATCACTGCAACCCACTGGCAAAAGATACACAGAGTAGTGAATAGTATGGGACTCACAAATTTCATGCATGTAAGTGCAGGTGCATACATGAGGTAAAGCAACAAAGGAAAAAAACCTAAAAGTTGTAGCAAAATTTATAACTAGAGACAATAGTTGTTTTAGGACACCCAGTTGTTCTTTTTCCATGACTTCACGCTCAGTTGTCAAAAAAAAAAAAAAGTTCTGCATTCCTTTCTTTGACACCTTACTGAAATACTATGCAAATATGTATAAGAAATGCTCACAATCTGGAAAGTAATACTTAGGTTTTCTTTCACTTGAGGTAGTCTGCTTGCATGCAATACACTTCCAGGCATTGTATTAACTCTAGGAGCGAGGACCACCAATTATTGCTAATTCGATAATTAAACAAGAACGTGAGGACATTTAGGCAAAGAATATTAATATGCTAGAACTGTACTCAGATATCTGATACAATAAGAGTGATCTTATTTCACAACTTTATTACTACAGCTCACTTTAATAATCTACTAAATTTTCTGTTAAAACGCATTTGGGATAATAATTCATACGATATACTTGCAGCTATAAAATTCAAATATGACATTCCAATCCTTGGCATGTGGAAGAAAACTCATTCACATCCTGAGCTCCATGGGAAAAAATAAAATGTTTATGCAACGAATCTAATGTACGCATCTCCTTCATCAGCAAGTCATTTTGCTTCCACGGTAACAGAATTATGTATGTTCCTAGAGGTGAAAAGACACTGATAATTTCTGTAAACTTGGTGCCTCACAGCAAATGTCAGTTCTGGTTCTTTAAGAATCTTTTCTCTAGTTACTATAGATACAGCTTGGAAGAATTACTAGAACATTTACTTAGATCCATCTTTCATTGTTTCCTGTTTTTCACAGCAGATGCAACAGTTGCTAGATTAAACAAAAGTCAAAACCAAAACAACTATTAGAATCTGTTGATCAATCACGTAAGCATGTGGTTGAATAGCATCTCTATATATAGTTTTGTCTGTGAAGGTATGCTATGACTTCAGCAGACACAAATACAGCAAAGAACAGGGGCTGGCCCCACTTTTGTGCATTTTACAGCAGATAGTTCACTAATGCACTTGGGAGTCACAGTAGTTTTTTTCCTGCAGATAAGGAATATTTTGGCAGCAGATCACATACATTTTGTATCCGTGAGAACTGAGTGAGTTTTCTAACAGCGTACAGAGCACCCAGCCTCGAAGTCCTGGGCTTCAGTAAAATCTTTCCCATATTTACCATGGCTTTCTGCATAATGAACAGGTGCTTTTATCACCATAGGAGAGATCGATAGTATTTTGTTGAGTGTTGCCAGAAGGGCTAAGATGGGACCAACAGTGTGTTC